GAGAGACATGAGCCAGGCATCTCTGAAATTTCTTTACACTGCTATGTGTGCTCATGTAAAACAACTACTACACTTCCAAGTCGGAATGATTTCAGCAATAAGAATTACTTCACTTCCCATTTCAAAATGTTCTCAGCAGGACAACAACATTTGAAAACTTACACTTGTAGAAAGAATGATACCTTTAAAGCACTCACATTCTATTTTCATTTCTTCTTTCATTTCAGCATTAGATCTGGTGTTTTGCATGCATGTAGGAACAAAGGGAAGAAGTAAAATGTCTAGCATTATGAAAACATGCATTATCTTCCACAATGAAATGATACTTTACAGAAAAAAATATCTACAGTTATCAAAACTTTTTCTGTTTTGCTGGGTATTGGTTTGAGGTTTTTTGATGGTTTTGTTTCAGTTTGTTGAGTGGTTTGTGGATTTTGGGTTTGTTTTTATATTTCACTGTAGACGCTGTAGAAAGAAAATACTTCCAAAGTTTTACTGTAACAATTTTTTTCATTGCATAACTGAATAATGTGTCACAGTTCAAGAAAACCTGATAGTAAACATAGAATATCAATCATTCTAAACATTGCATCAAGTCATTAACAGATACTTTGTCAAACTCTGACCAAAAAGCAGAGTGACACCATTACACCATCACTATTTTGTCCGTCAGTGTCAATGAAGAACATTGCCCACAGTGAACCATAACACCATTAGAGACTTCAGCACTTACATCTGAATTCTTTGCAGTGACCTAACCACTGCCATGATGTGACATTTGCTGGTTTATTTAAAATTGAGAAAATTTGCTTGGCAGTATGTAGGAGCAGAAAGGTCTAAATTACTAAGGCAACAAAATCTCACCCAAGGCTCGTTTCACTTGTGCAAGAGCCTAGACACATTCACTTCTGCAATTTTAGAAACTGCTGATTGGAACTGCCCACTCCCCTTGCTGGAGATGACCACCTGAAAGCAAAACCTTCTTATTGATCGGGTGCTTATTTTAACAGATACTACCAGAAATTAATGATGAAGGCAACTTTATGGCAATACAGGCTTCATATAGCAGAAGAGCAAGGAGAAACTTCAGGGAAAAAGGCAGGTGAAAGAAGAGGTACATCCACCAACCTCCCTGACATTAACTCTCAAGTGCTGTTTTAACAGCATACATTATTAAGATCTGCCAAAATGACAGTCTGTACTTCCTTCCCCTAGTTCATTAAGAGTTGTAGTTTAATCAGGAAAGAGTAGCCAAGGAAACACTTGCTAAATTGCCAAATACCAGCTGGTTAACTGAATCCCAGAGAAGGTAAGCAGTTAGTTACCAGTTTCTCTTAAAAGCACCTCAGCACCTGCTGCAACACTAACAAAAGATCCACGTAATCCAGGTAGTACAAGTTTCCCTTTCCAGTCCTGCCTTTTGTCATTTGTCCAGACAGAAGGCTGCCTCTCTGGAGTCAGAAATATAGAAAATAATACTTGAGCAGTGCAAAAGTTAGGTTGTTCTTCCTTATCCAGTCCTGGTAATGGTACTCTACAGTTTCTGGAATAGTTTAGTTTTAATCCAAAAAAGAGTTGAAGACATGTTCTGCATTTAGATCTTTGCACAAAACTCTCAGAATCCCTTATAACAAAACACTGATGTCAACTTTTATAGGTAATGGGAAATTGTTAGTGAAAATAAAGATGTCCAAAAAGAAACCGAATAACCAGTTACCTCTTGCCAATTTCAAGTAAAAAAGACAGCACTAACAGACAGGTGAAATGAAGTAAAAACACCTATGTGGAAAACTAGTATGAAAGCAGACAAATAATGACTAAAATAATTACTAAAATGGAAATGTTTTTTTGCTGTGAAGAGTCATGACAGCATTTCAGATGGTCATAATGATTTTCTGATATACTGAAAATTTTTATAAGCCACAGTTTAATATCAGAAAGCAGCAAAATACAAAGAAAGCACTGGCAAGTCATAGATGAGCTACAGCTTTTTATAATTATCTTTTGCTTAGTCTGTATAAAAAAGGTATCCATCATTAGAAACATCACTGAACTTACAGAATGCCAATTACCATCCAAACAGATAGTCATTACCACCCAAAACTTTTCAGCTGCCCATTGATACAAACTGTTGAAAAACTATAGAAATAAACTATTCTCTGAAAAGGCTCAGCGTAAACAGACCCTGACAGTCCATGCAAGGAATAAGTAAATAAATAAACATCATCTCTGCTACTTATCTTAATAATTGCATTCTAGATATACTTTTGAACTACCCTCAGGAATTTCTTAAAGCCAAATCTCTTTCATACACCCCTAAATTTCAAATGCTAGATGAATGTATGACATGCAGTAAAAAGAAAATAAAATCTTCCACTGCAAGTTATTAACTACTGCAGCCTACTAGTAGTATCTGTAGGCTTGAATTTAGTCCTCTGCAATTCATGAAGACCTGCTTTTGGTGACTGAACTATGCCATAAGAGACAACCAAAATAACTTACTAATTTTATTAAAAATGTAATAGTTTCTTAATAGATGACACCCACATTGACACTTGTCTCCCTCCATTCTTCAGAACACAACATTCATCACAACAAGCATGCACCAATAAAAGTTTGGCTGACAAGCTCAGAAAGGACCGTGTCTCCAGCGATCTTCACAAAGCAAATGCTGGGCATCTCAAAGACTTTCTTTTCTCAGGATTTACCATGTATAGGTCTCTTCATACTAGAAAGATGTAATTTCAGAGGAAAAATTTTTGAAAATCATTCCTTTGGTTTTGGATTAAAGTCGGGAGAAGAGAGCTGAATTTGGAGGTTTTTTTCCATTTGACTGCTAAAATTGTCAAACTCTGCAGATGGCGATAATGGATGAGTAAGTTGAAAAACAGGTTACTTATGGGAAACCATACATGGCTAAGGAATCAGGGGGAGAAGCAAAAGCAGCTCATTTTTCCCTTCTCTTCACTCTTACAGTGAATATATCTATGGTATCATCAGGCCTAATAATGGAAGCTACAGAAGAGGACTCAAGAAACTTTTTGCATTTACTTATACCCTGGATTTCCCATACTAAAGATTAAGGGAAAAAAAAAAAAACCCTTAAGACACTTTCCAAACATCTCCAGAAATTCAATTCATTGGCAACTGATGCTTGTGACTGGAGAACAAATGCTCTGACAGAGCATGGGCTTTGGAAATGTACATCAAGTTCCACTATGAAAGTAATTTGACCCATTTGGTGGAGTGATGGAGAGTGGAACTGAAGAATGGGGACAGGATGTACTTTCTCTTCCCTAAGGGAAACAGCAAAAGAAGACCATAATCGATTTACATATTTGATCACAGAATAGCTTATATAAATAAGTACTCCTACAATTATTTTCAACCCATAGCATTGATAAATTCAGTAAATTAGGAAAAAGGCCAGGGTAAAATACATCTTTGTCCAAAAAAAAAGAAAGAACAAAATCAATGGGAAACAAAACAAAATATTATCCTCCCTGTATCTGCAAAACTTTGTCCAAATTCAAGTCATTTTGAGTGATAAAATCATAACCACACAACTCAAGAGCTATTGTTGTCTGGATAAAATAACTTTACATAATTTGAATAACTGCTACAGATTAGAGAAAACATATTTAGATAAACAATTTCCAGTGGCACTATCTATGGTTATCCCTAAAATGTTACATTAAAAGTTACTGCAACTGAAACAAGTACTTTTTACACCTATGTATTTCTTAGACAGTAAAATGAAACCTTGAAGTGCCAAGATTCACTTAATACCACATAGATCAGTTCTGGTGACTTTTTAAAAAACTTGAAAGAATCTCACAAGCAAGAAAGTGAAGAGAAGAATACTGCTCCACCTGGAGTGGTGTGGTGCCATTTACAATACTAGGCTACTTTTCCTATGGCCAATGGTCAAAAAATGTCAAATGAAGTATTTTACCAATATAAATACAAGTCTTCTGAAATTGTTGCAGAATAGCTTGATCTTGGGAGGGATTTCTACTTCATTCTAGCCAATCTAGACAGAGAAGTACAAGACTAGAAACAGAAAATTAATAAACTGATATGAAAATAAATTACTTTGATACTACCAAGTCTAACACTACTATTAACAAGAATACATGATATGAAAAAGCAGTAATTTCAGTCACAGAAAAGGCCTATGTGGATTTTTCAAAGGAAAATAGAAAAATACTGTCCATCTGCAATTTATCTGAGAACAAGCATAAATCAGAGAACTTTATTTTACCAATATTCAAACTAAATATCTGTGAAGTAATCATCATCTTATGGCACCTCAAGAAAAAAGCATGATCTTAAAGCATAAATTGATTTAAGATGGAAGTCTACTTCACAATTAGTTTAAGGCAAGTGCTACAGGAAAACATAGTTTAATTACTTACTTCATTCAACAAATTACATAGATCCATGCAAATGTTACTAAAAAAGGTAAACATTTTTCTCTAAGGCCACAGATTTCACACAAGAATGTAATTTTTACTACACTTTCCGCACCATGGAACTTTTCCACAAGTGTAGTCTTTTGCACGTGGTAAGAACAATGTGCACATACGGGTAAGACATTTTAAGCGAGCATTTAACAAGTTATGCTTGCTTTTTCCTAAAAAAGGTTTGGTAAAGCTTCAAAAACAGACAGCAAACAGCCCCTGTACTTAGGGGCTCCCCTGAGTACAGACAGAAGCAACCAGGCAAACACTGTACACTGGTGTGGGGTTCAGAGCTCAGAGAAAAGGACTAAGATGGAAAGAAAATCTTTCCAAGCATTAGGAAGATGGGTTTGAATACAGCGTGTTAGCACTTTCTTGAAGCAATGAAATACTATTAGAAGTATCTTTAACAGATATAGATTTAACAGAAGTTGCATTCTAAACTGTAAATACTTGGATGTAGGAACAGGGGCATATATACACTTTTAGCAGCATGCACGATTAGGTACTTACAAAGCACATAAAAAATTTCCTTACCTCTTCCTATTTTGAATCCTGATATCAATATCTGAGTCCTTGTGTCCAGAAATTAATTTATATATTAGGGGGAAAAAAGTAAATAAAAGAAAATCCAGTTATTATCACAACAAAAAGGTAGGAAATACAATCACTTGAAATGCTGGAGTTAGGATCCCAGACCACCTTGATGTTAGTGCCAAGACAAAGCTTAAGCTTCTAAATGTCTCCATGTTCCAACAAATTTTGGGAAAAGTCACTGATGGAACAAAAGATGGTACTTTGTATGGATAAGTTGTTGAAAAAACAAACAAAACAAAACAAAAAAAAAATCCTGTTCCTGAGATCTCTTCTACTGATTGCCATTGCACAGTAAAACAAATAATTTTTTATTGTAAAAACATTTGTCTAGTCAGTTAAAATAAATTTGGCAATGTCCTTTAATTAAGTAATCAACTGATCCATGGCCTTTATTATGCCAGTGTCTATACTCAATAGTCCAAATACAACAGTAAGTGTCACATACAATTATTCATAAATAAAAAATTTCTAACTTAGCCAGCTGTACTGTATCTTTCAGCTTCTTCTTTCAAGCGACAAACCAGAAAACATTATAAAGCATAACACATTCCCTGAAAATTCATCAAACACTGCACTGACACATCTGCATGAAAAAATGACATTCATGATTACAAAAACTGTAATGTTTACATGCATATTGTAAAAGAATAACAAAGATGACCTGTACTGGTATAATATAATCATAATTCAAACAAAAATTGCATTATATATAATAATTGTGATGTTACTGGATAATAATCAACTAGAGAAGGCATTGTATGCTGTCTCGTTATGTAGAGTTCAAAAAAGTTCTTAAGGGAAAAGTCTTGACAAAACAGTGATTTGCAAGTTGGCAAATAACAAACTCATTCCATGAACCTAAAAAATTAACTTTTCCTCTCCTAATTACTGCACAGCATTTTCTCATTGACACCAAACATACACAGAATGCTTTCTGTCTTAAATCAAAATTAACGTAATGCTATTCATAAATCAACAGTTTCCAGCAATAAGGACAGTCTCAGTATCAAACAAGGAGGATCCTTACTGCTGACAGAACACAAACCTTTTTAATGTAGACAAAGTTCTAAGTTACTGTCAGTTAAAAATTCAGAATACAAAATAGTTATCTCTTAAGATCATCTGATATAGACATCTGCAGGGAGAGTAAGTCTTCTCCATACCACTTTGCAAAGATGAAAAATAGTGTCAGAGCTAGTTTAAGTTCTTCTATTAGCAACAAAACTAAAAAAAACCCCGATTATCACTCTTTCATATTTCTTCCTTACAATCCCTGCACTATCATAATGCTACCATACATAGCTTGATTTACTCCAGCTTGATTTACTTTCTCACCCCCACCTCCTCAACAATTTCCCCACTGGCTCCATCAACTTATAATTGTGATTTGAAAGAGGCAGTCATAACTGTGAGAACACTCATTTTCTGGCACAAAGAACAAGTAACTTGAGCCCACCAGAGTTTGTCATTCCCCCTACTTTTAATGATCTGTACCACCCCCTATTTTTGGAAAGTATATGTTGTGTTTGTCAAAGGAATAAAGAGACCCTAGAGTTCCTACATATAGTGTGAAGTTCCAAGTCTAAAGTATTGTTTCTGATTGAAGAGATAAAAGGCAGGCGTGGAAAGAAAATAATGTCATTGAAGAACTCACTGCTGGTTTATTTGTTCCTACAATGCTGGCTCTTAAGTATGATTGGAAAACTTCAGGTCTCTACAAATTTCAGTCAAACTACAGTAGCACATAAGGTTTTCAGTCCAATTAGTTCTCACCACACTGAGCATTTCAATTTAATATTCTGTTGATTTAAGTACAGATGCACTTATTCAGTAAAATTGACTTGAGAAAAGCTAATTTTCAGTCAGACAATGAGGCAGCACCACCAGCAATGACTGAGATAAGTGTGAGGGTGAGCACTGGATCAAGATGTTCAGGGGGGTTCCCAAGGTCAGGGACTCCTGAGCAAGAGCTCAGAGCTGCGTCCAGACCTGGAAGCCTTGGTGAGGCAATCAAGCTGGCAGATAACCAGACAGAGGGCCGCCCGGGGGAGAAGGACTTGGGCTGCTCGTGGTGGCCAGCAGGGCCAGGGAGCAGATTCTGCTGCTCTGCTCTGGTGAGACCGCACATGGGTCTAACCCTAACCCTGCATCCAGCTCTGGGCTCGCAGCACAGGACGGAAATGGACCTGCTGCAGCGAGTCCAGAGAAGGCCATCGAGACGATCACAGGGTTAGAGCAGCAAGGAAAGGCTGAGCAAACTGGGGTTTCTCAGCCTGGAAAAGAGAAAGCTTTAGGGTGACCTAACAGCAGCCTTCCAGTACTTGAAGGGAGTCTACAAGAAAAGACAAGGACTTTTTACAAGAGCATTTACTGACAGGACAAGGTGGAATGGCTTCAAAGTGAAAGACAGGAGGTTTAGACTGCAAGGAAACTCTTTGCTGTAAGGGTGGTGAGGCACTGAAAAGAGGTTGCCCAGAGAAGCTGTGAATGCTCCATCCCTAGAAGTGTTCAAGGCCAATTTGGATGCTGCCCGGAGTACTGGGTCTAGTGGGAGGTGTCCCTGTCCACAGTAGAGAAGCTGGAACAAAATTACGTTTAAGGTCCCTTCCAACCCAAACAGGCTATGACAGTATGAATTTCAATAAAAGCAGCAAGTTTTCTCTAGGCTCCTCAGAGCAATTATAGAACAAACCACTATTTATAGTGTTTCTTCAGTTAGCAATGAAAATGTGTTACATATCACAATAGGTAAGATTGCTTTTAACACAGAATAACCTGATTCTTTTTTCTCTTGTACTGCTTGCAAGACTTTCACATACCACCTAAACTAGCAGTCTAATACAGCAAGCTTGTATTTTAAGAAGGGTGGTGTAAGTGACGCAAAACTACTTCCAGACAGAGCTTCCAAATAAGTCTTGTGTAAGCTAGAAGACATGGGCACCTTCTGCCTGGCTTCTAACCTACTGCTGTCAAACTGCCCTGAGAAGGTTTTCCTCCCCATTTCCTTTAAATATAACAGCAAACCTAACCCAGCAAATCAGAGTTTAAAAATCACTGAACATCTTTAGTAGCACTGACAAAAAGAGACCAGGGTTCAGATTAATAGCCTCTCAGGAATGCTGACAGTCTTAAATCAACTGCATCTCTAAATGCTACTATCAAAACAAATTCCCACTTAGTAACTACTGACTTACTACATACATGTACCAAACAACAACAGCTCCAAAGCAAGAAGTAGAGAAAATATTTATTGTATAAAATACAAGATGTCCTTGTACTTTCTTGTAAGCCAGTATTGTAATTTAGAACAGTAGTTGTAGAGTGAAAGGCTATCAACATGCATGCTTTTCAAAACATCATGTCCACAGCCACTTTGCAGCTCAGAGCTTAGTAGCTCCACTTAAGAGTTTCAATGGAAATGCTTCAACTTCTTCTCACGGTGTCACCCAAAGAGTTCAGGAATTTTATCCAGAATTATCTCAGTCCTGGGAGTTCATTACATGATAAAAGTTAAAAAGGCCACACTACCTGTATTGAATGGCCATATGGGAAAAAAAGAAATGAAAGCTATTAAAGTAAGCGTAGAATGGCTCTCGACAAGAAAACTTACCTGTACCTCAAATATAAAGCTTTGAGATGACCTCCTCTAAATCATGTAAGTGGACAGGAGATGTAAGACCAGGACAGCTGCAGCAACTAAAAGCTGTACTTTACAACCTCTTAGTAGCAGAAATCTTTCATACCATGGCAATTAATTTCTGCCATTCTTGGCATTACTATTAGGCTAGGATAATTACAAACTCTTAGTCTACTTTATTGTAACATTTACAAGTGTTCAGTCTTGATTTCCAACAGTGACAGCAGAGTAACAAGATCAAATCAGCCACATGAGCCCACAGAAAGAAATCTAATAAATTTTCCTTCAGAACTGGTTTATGAAATGTTATATTTCCAAGCTTTCTGTAGAAAGTCGTATGACCCTCTTCTAATGCATCCTATGTGCTTCCACCACATATCTTGGGTTCTGCACAGCTTCTGTATTCCCTTAAACATATTATAAGCTGTCTACAAGTACAGCTTCAAAAGAAATAGTAATGCTACTGAAAGTGTACAAAGTTTCTGTTTCTATTCCCCTTGTCGCAAAAGAATTTAATGAATTTCAGAGCACCTTTATGAGACACATGATGAGTACCACAGTTGAGATTCTAATCTGATCTGCTACTAAAAGAATGAATAGAAAACTTGACAAGTATCCTACCCCAAAATAACTAATAATAATCTTTTAACAGCACAGTACCTAGAACTAAAATGACTCCTAACAACACAGCTACCACATGCTTAATTGTTCATTCTGTATAAACAAAAACAATCTATAATGGAGGACAAATACATGGGATGCTCCTTAAATATAAAGGCTCATCTCAACTTTTTCTTTTTAAATTCAAAGCTTTTCATCCATGGACTTAATTCTTCTGTGATACTCTGGAAGAAAATACACAGTATTACTTTGAAAAACACCAAAGAAAATATTTTCAGAACATTCCAGAGGATGTAGGGGTAATAAACCAGAATTTCTTGAACTGGTTTTTCAGAGGCATGCATTTCATACAGAAAGCAGGAAGAGCCTAAACTGATCTGACAGAAAGCCTGCACAGTTTTGTAAGCAAAAAAAAAAGAAAGAAAGAAAAAAAGGAGAAATTGCAAATATGTGAAGCAGCAAAAGAACATCCAAGCACTTGATAACCCTCAATAATCAAACCTCTTTGAACCTTATAAACTTTGGGACATGCAAAACTTTCCACACAGGACACTGAAGTAACACCCAACACTCTGAGGATAGAAGTGACCAACTTAAAAGGCCAAATGTGACACCACAAGTTACTAGAACTCAGTGGTTTAGAAAACTTTCCAAATTTCTTAATACTGAACACATACACATGTATATACGTGTGCGTGTGCGCACACATGAGTATTTGTTTCTAGACTATAAAACAGACTACATACTATAGACTGCAAAACAAGCCCCTGTACTTTACCTACGAGTACCAATTCATTTCCTATTTCTCACAACTTCATATCATAGATACACAACACTGGAGCCACATACCTGAACGGCTGAAGTCGCACACCCAAGGGACGTGTCCCCTCTATCTCCACCTTACTGAAAACGCCATCTTCACCCCTCCACTCAGAGACCCCTTCTCCCCAAGCCGTAGAATTCTGTTCCCTGCCCAGGCCCCTCCACAGAACCGCAACTCCTCCCGCGGGCAGGAACGGGTGGGGCGGGGGGTGTGCGGGTTGCCTTTCCCCCAGCACCGAGAGCCTCGTTCCCCCGCGATGGGCACACGCGGCAGGACAGGGACAGTCGCTCCCCTGGCCCACGGAGACTCCCTGACAGTTTCGGGAGAGGAACCCCACAAAACGCCCCACCCCGCCTGCGACCACCCCACGCCCGCCCCGAAAGTTCCAGCGCGGCCCCCCCAGCCCCAGCCCGCTCCTCCGCAGCCCCCTAAGCCGTCGGGGCGGAGAAGACGCTCGGCCCGCACCCCCTCCTCACCCCGCAGCCCACACCGCAAATACCCCGCAGGCGGGCGGGGGGGCGCCGGGCCCGCCCCGCCCCCGAGCCCCTCGGCTGCCCCTCAGCCCCTCGGCGGGGCAAGGCCGGGACCCCCACGCCCGCCCCGGCCCCGCACTGACCTGACCGGGGGGGGGCGCGGCCGCCGCTCGGGGCTACAGCGGGGGCTCCCCCCGCCGCCGCCGACCCTCCGCTCCCCGGCCCGTCCTTCTCCGAGCGCCACCGCAGGGCAGAGAGCACAGGAGTCGGAAACGCGAGGCGGAGGGAAGCACCGGCCCCTCTTCCCTTTCCCAAGAAAATTTTAAAAAGAAAAGCGGGGGATTTAAAGGGCTCGGCCCGGAGTTTAAAACAAAGAGGCGGAAATAGCCGAGTGCGGCCCGAGCAGAGCCGAGCGGGGGCGCCGCGCTTGCGGCGCATGCGCGCGGGGCGCTCACCCGGGCACGGCGCCGGCCGCCCCCTCCTTCCCTCCCCCGGGCAGCGGGGCCGGCGAAAGGGGGTCCGGAGCCCCCGACAGGCCTGGGCCCGAGCCATGTCCCGGTCGCAGAACCGCACAGTACGCTGGTTGGAAAGGAGCCATCAGGATCATCGAGTCCAACTCTCTCATCCTTGCAGAGGACACCCCTGAGAATCACAGAATCACACCATGTGCCTGAGAGCATTGTCCAAAGGCTTCTTGAGCTCTGTCAGGGTTGGTGCTGTGACCACTTCCCTGGGGGACCTGTTCCAATGCCCAACCACCCTCTGGGTGAAGAACCTTTTCCTGATACCTAGCCTAAAGCACTGCTGACGAAACTTCAGTCCTTTCCCTCCGGTCCTGTCACTGGTCACCACAGAGGCGAAATCAGTGCCTGCCCATGTGTCTCCCCTGGTGAGGATGTTGGAAACTCCAGTGCCCCCTCAGTCTCCTCCAGGCTGAACAGACCAACTGACCTCAGCCACTGCTGGAATGGCTTCCCCTCAAAGCTGTCTTCACTGCCCTCCTTTGGATATTAATGGCTTGATACTTTTCTTACATTGAGGTGCTGGAACTGAACATAACACTCAAGGTGAGGCCACACCAGCAGAGAGTAGGGGTAGCAGTAGAGGCTGTGTGCCCAGCCTTGAAAAATCCATGCAACTTGTGAGCAGCAGGTGACATCAGCAAAGGTGGTTGGCTTGTAGGCAGGATGCAACCTGTGCGTTGCTCCAAGCCACCTCTTCTCACTGAAAGGTTTTCCTCAAAAGCGCACAGGTGTCTTTCCAACTGATCAGAGTGGAAACTTCAGTAGGAGCTCGGTGAAAGGAGAAATTTTAATAAGAGTGCTGGTCACAAGACACACTGTATCAAAGCGTAGGTGGCTCAAAACACTCCTGACTGATAAAATGACAAGATCCTGTCTTCCTGAAGGTGTGAATTCATAGGTCAAAGAGCATGCACAAAGCTTGGGAAGCCCATGCCAAGTTCAAGTTTGTACCAAACAGCTGAACGTTTAACTTGCAAAGGCAAGTACTTAAAAATTCACCTGTCCAAAGACTAAAGACACCAAACCAATCTTCACCTTCTCAAATATGCACATATTTTGAATGTGATCCTTTAAAATACCTGCATATTTCCCTCTTTCCTTTCTTCCTTTCCAACAAAGAATGAGCCATGAGACAATCTTCCACCTTGTCTAAAAATGCCATTGGAAATGGGCTATCTGATATGGCACAAGCCCTCCATGTTCTACAAACTACTGAGCTTTTATTGTGCGCCAAGACAGGGGCTGTGCTTGGCTCTGGAAGCTATGTTTTCCAGATGCTAAGTCTGAGTTAATGGAAAATATGTCAGCATTTTAGATTTGCTTTGTTTCAGTTCAGGGGTTATGTAGTTACATGAGTGCATCTTGTCTATCTGAAATATAAATTCTGTTTCCAGTTTAACCACAAATTACTTTGTTGTGTGTTGTAGAAAATAATGGGGCTTCCTACCTGACCCCTGGAACTGGGGTTCAAGTATCCAGAAGAAAAAGTAACAAACTATAAGTATGTGCAGGAAATGATAAACTGTATGCCTGCTTTTCTTGTTGGGTTGTCTTGTTTTTTCCTAGTGTTTCCAGACCAAACACTACCAATTGGGAAAACCATTAAGGCCATGGTGTATAGGTGTTGACTTTCTCTTGCTATAGAATTTTTTAGAAGATGGCACCTTAATCAAGATGATACGACCATGTCTACTACAACAATTTACGGTAATATACCCACTGTGACAAGATTTGTGACCCTCAGAGCACAAGCAGTGGTTTGCTCTCTTCACAACCTCATCACCCAACATCAGTGCTAATGCCTTCGGCAGTACCATTAAAGTGTGTGTTAGACATAAGTGGTGTCTCTGCAATATAAGCTTTGCCAATGACAAAAACATCTAATATCACAATTAGAGTGCCTTTTCTGAACTACAACACTGGATATTAGAAGAGAAGTGAAACTTTTTGTTTGCATTGCAGTCAGTGAGCTGTGGTCAAACTACTGAATTTCTGAGTGACTTGAGGAGAACTAGAAACTGCATTTAAAAGAATCTTGAAGTTCGCTTTACATGCATTAGTCTTCACAATTTTCACCCAAATAAGAGCATGATGTGAGCATGGGTAAATTGAATCTCTACCTTCCCGAAACATGTATTTCCTCACTAAAACAATTCATGGAACAGAATCTGAGAACTTCTTGACAAAAAAGCACCCCAGACATCTCAGGTAAAAGAAGGTATTTTTTTATTTTCTTTAGGTCTTCTAACAGTGAAAAGGAACTGGTCAGCATGAGAATGTTAATGGTATAAACAAAGAAATTACTAGAAACCCAAGAAAGCAACACATTTTCATAAGCAAAGAAGAAAAGTAGCAAATAAAATTAATAAAGCACAAAGTAGGAAAATAAAGGACAGAATTACTCTAATTTAAGACTTACTATGATAAAGTGTCTAGGAAGAGAAATATTGAGAACTAATATCCAGTGGTTTCTCAGAGCACAAGAGCTACATCAATTCTGTAGGTCTGTGAATGAGACTGTTTGCGAGTGCTGAGAGAGTCTGTTGATGCCATTGCAAGGCTACTCCCCAACTATCACCTTTTTGAGATCATGGTGACCAGGCAAGTCCCCCAGTACTGGAGAACAGTAATTATTTCACCTGTCTTTGAAAACAGTAAGAAAGATAATTTAGAGAACTACAGCCTCACTTTGGTCCCTGAGAATCATGGAGAAATTAAAGATCTCAGGGCTGGACTCAAACATCTTGCAGCCTAAAACCAAAGAGCTCAGGCATTGACCAGCTTATTTCTTATACACATATGCACCAGGCACAAAATTTAAGCACCATATTCTAATGGGCCAGTCTGTAAGATATAGGCATTATCAGAACACACACACAGAATGTGTGAGGTTGGAAGGGGCATTTGGAGATCACTCAAGATCCCTGCACAAAGGAGGATAAGGTAGTGCAGCTGTGTCGCTTCTTTAGTTATCCCCAGACCAAGCACTGCCATCTTACATTATAGATCCTGCATGGTCATCCTAAGGACTGAATGATAACTTCACTGTTGCCCAGGAACCACTGGAAGACAGTCATTTGAATATCAATTTCACTACAGCAATATTCTGGCTTCAGAGATGTGGTCTATTAATCCTCTGATCTAAAAATAAAGACCTGGAGGTCCTTCACAGGAGGAGCTGTGAGCTATCACCCCCTACAGACACAGCTGCATAGGTGACAGGCCAATCAACCAGCTAACTGTCTTGGCAAGAGACTATTTGGAGGTTCACTGCTTCCCAAATTCTGACATTCTGAAATATTGTTCAGCATTTTGTTATAGATTTTACCTGAGCATAAGCATAATAACCATAAGTTTTTAACACCATAACTGTTATGCAAACTCCTGCATCTATAGAATAGTAGGAAATTCCTGTTTCTTTCAATAACCTTTAATATTTTGGGTTTGGTGAGTTGATATCTTTCTCCCTGTTGTCCTTGCTAAAGAATTGATAAAGCATTTTCTGAGTCTCTAGCTAAACAGTTTTATTCCTAAACTGATCTGTATAATTGTTTTTTATGAATTAAGGATACTATAAAATTCAGAGAGGTTTAAACCCAAGTGATAAATATTTAACTATACCCTCAATCATTCCAACCCACTTGAGCTGTTCAATCGTCACTGTTACTTGCCTTTCAGGGTCCTCCATTTCCCATGGAAAAAAAATCCTTCATTTTCTCTCTGGTCTCAATTTCAAATAAATCAAGTTCATTCCCTAGTCAAATCCACTGAACTGTATGAGACAAACTGATTCAGCAATCATTTGTAAAAGAGGAAAAAGCAAATACCAGACGTTTAAGTATCTCTAGTCTTACAAATATTTCCTCTGGTAAGTGAAAGATTAATGCTCTTGCCAGAGCATGTAACTGTTAGCT